ACACCGTATATTTATTCTTGGAAAGCTTATAATTAACTTTCATATTAGCACGAGCAACTGTAAATTTGAGAGGACATTTGTCAGACCCATATAGACAAATAGATCACGACACTTTAGTATATATGAAGGACGTGTGAATTAATATTATTCAGTCATATATTATTAGCATTGACGAAGATACCGCAGGTTTAAGGATTTTCGCAAGCACAGAAAAGTTAGTCAACCTAAAGCCTCGATTAAACGACTCTCATTGACTCCCATCCACATTCAACTGGTTGAAATTTTGTTTCGGCTTTTGTTCGTTTTAAGCCTGCATCGAACGAGGACGAGAGTGCATGCATGAAATTTACGAGCGACGCGACCTTAATTGGTTAGCTTTCCGTAATGCTTTCCTATACACTATCATGTATTCTATTTGACTTGAAACATAGTTAAAACACTCATCACACCTTTTATGAGAATTTTCGCAACGCGCGCGTGCATGTGATCCAGTCAACTCTAGATCTCATGCATGCAACTGCGCTCTTGTTGTCGTTTGACCGGGGTACGAGAGTTAAGAAAACTCGCATGCAAATTCTTGCTTCTCAAGTCTCATCAATTCTTCATCCGATCGTTTCACTGGGGCTTCACTCAGAGTGGGAGCATGCTGTTCTTATTCGTCACCTGCATGTACTTTTCTTGGCGGTATTATCGTATATGCATATCGTGTTTGTTAATTTTAACAAATGATAAAGAACCAAGTTATGGTGGAAGCAGTACTTTCAACAACCATAACAACTTGCAAATTTCGGACAGAGTTATGTTAGGTAAAAACGCGTTCGCAGAATATGAAGAACGTTGCTTATTACGCTTATAAATTAGGGCTACATTCTAGTTAAAGCATTTTTCATATAAATATATATATACGAGCGTTTAGGCACGGAGAAGTCTAGATCCATTCAATGAAATCATTAAATGAATAAAAGAACAGCATTGAGTATTGTGTATAATTATGACTTAATTAAAGTACATTTGTTCAGGTAATTAGTACTTCAGAATCTATAAAATTTAAAAAGATTTAAAGACAGATTTCTGTAAGAAGCCTTTACTCCGCCGATATTTTTAGTCAACATGTTTTCAGTTTCGTTAAGAGACATGCAACAAGAAATGAACGAGTTGAGATCAGACAAGTTTTGCAGCAACGCGTGCCACGCAATTTCTGACTATAGCTAACATGCAGTTATGTTGTATATTTAAAAACGTGTTCACCGAAAAAACTGATTATGCGCATGGTCTACGTTTCATTCGATGTCTTTTGCTTGATATATCAAAGAGGCAGTGACAATGCAAAATGTCGGTGCTGTTAAAGGTGGGTCATGTTTGACAAAGCAATTTATGCCGCAGAATGTACTCGCATAAAACAATAGGCTTATAATTATAGTAAACCCTAATCCGACGCTACTGAACTGCATGGAATTATCAAATATAGTGTCTTAGAAACATGGTTTGTTTCTATATTTAAAATTTTCTATATTCTTATTTATTAGTTTATAAACTTTCATTATTTGCGCACTTTTACAGCAGTGAGGTGTCTATATAACTTAAAACTATACGTCATTTAAATAATTATGATAATTGCTTCAAATGGGTTGGAAGACGCTGAATTTCAATGGAAAAAAGGTTTCGACTGTTACACTATAGCTAATAAAGAATAGAGTAATAGCTTGCGGACGCGAAAATCGGCAATTTAAATGCAAATAGCTTATTTTTGTATTTTCATAAACATTCTGTTTCGTACCGTCAGCCTGTTGTAGCAGTACTTGGCTGCGTGCATGTGTAATTGATCTTAAAATAGCAAAAATATATAATTATAGTCAAACCCTATACTCAAAACGCCACTGAACTTCGTAGAATTATCGAATATATTTAATTGTCTTAGAAACATTGTTTGTTTCTATATTTAAAATTTTCTATATTCTTACAGTATTTATTAGTTTATAGACTTTCATCTTTTGCGCACATTTGCAGCAGTTACAGGTGTCTATATTACCTTAGACGTATACATAATTTAAATAGGTGTATCATAATTGCTTCAAATGCGTTGGAAGATGCTCAATTTCAACGCAAGACAATTTTCTGTTATCTTTTCATGTCACGCAATCACGAAACCTAATCCAATCCTTAACCCTGACCTCCTAGCTATAACCACTTATATTTCGTGACTGCGCGTAACATGAAAATGTATAACTATATCCGTATTTATTAGTTTATAAACTTTCATCATTTGCGCACATTTGCAGCAGTGACAGGTGTCTATATATATATATATATATATATATATATATATATACCTTACAGACCTTATACATCATTTAAATATGTATGATAATTGCCGCTTCAACGGGGTTGGAAGGTGCTCAATTTCAACACAATACAATTTTCGGTTATGTTTTCATGTCACGCAATCACGAAACCTAATCCAAACTATATCTCTAACCTCCTAATCACTTATATTTCGAGACTGCGTGACATTAAAATGTCAACTTTTCAACCATTTTCGGTTATCTTTTCATGTCACGCAATCATGAAACCTAATCCAATCCCTATATCCCTAACCTCCTATAACCATTTATATTTCGTGACTGCGTGAGATGAAAATTAACCCAATTTTCGATTTTATAGGCGTAATAATTAAGAATAGACTATTATTCAATTCAATGCAAATAGCTTTTTTTTGTATTTTCATACAAAAACTATGACAAGCTATTTGCATTGAAAGTCAATTTAATCAGCTTATTTTTCAACTTTCTGTTTCGTACCGTCAGCCTGTATATGCCGTAGCAGTATTGGCTGCGTGTGTATGCAGTCTTTTTGAGTGCCCTCCTCTATAGTTCGTTATTTGATAGAATGATAGTTGTGCACGAGTCAAATCCAACCGTGATCGTCAAACACCCCCCTCCCCCAGCCATTTGACCCAAGATGAGCTCCATACATGCAGGTGGGGATTTGTTGCAAGGTCAATACGTAGCTGAGAGCACTCTGCCATCATTATACTAAGAGGGAAATGCATATAGCACCTATTTGGCAAGACCATTTCAATGCCAATGGATAAAAACTGGCGGCCTTCTGGTATTCCCCGATCCGCGACGAGCATTACAAAAGTACATTATCCATAGAAATCAACTGAGTTCAAGCAATAATTGCACATTACTGGCTAGCGGTTCAGGGGATGACAGAATCGCTCGGCGCGGTAATCCGACTAGGGCATCAGACACCGTTGCGAATCTGACATCCAGAGGCAGAGCAGCGGCGTGGAGAAAGCCTTGAGAGTTGCAGTAATTGAAAATACGAGCTGCAAAAGGAGTTCGCCGTTCGACGATCAGGAAAACCATGCAATGGTCGGGTTGGATGATAGAAATAATAGATATCTATGGGTTGGATGACATGGATCATATCAAATGCGATGGTTGGATAATTGGATGACATGGATCATATCAAACGACCGTTTGATTTGATCCATGTCATCCAACCCAACCATTGCATTTGATATGATCCAAGTCATCCAACTCACAGGATCCAAGCCATCCAAGTCAAGCTGGGCGAATCGATAAATGTTGAAAACCAGCTATTAAGCGATTTATAATTGTTATGTAAATTGGCAACTATGTGTGAAACAATGGTTTCTAGGTGAGCCAGTTCCACAGAATTTATTATGCAGCAAACGAAGAAAATTTTAAAAGGCGTAGCAAACAACAATCAAAATTTTACTTTGAAGACTAGCGAGTTACTCCAAAGTTTATAGAATTATATGTTTTTATGAAACGATTGTACTACCGAAGTCATGCGTTGACGGCGATACATGTTCTACAATGTTTTATTTTCTTTCAACAATTTCTCTACCAGTTAATTGTAATGCTTTGTTTATTGGTATTGATGGATAAAGGTTCTCCACATCGTAACTCACCTTGACATTCTCTTTCAATTCTCTCGATTTTTTTTTACAAATAGCCCGCTCTGTCCTTGTATTGTCCGTAAAATTAGAATAAGATATCTCGAAACCTTTTCAAATGGTATCCCTACCGTCGAAACTACACCTCGTAATGGAACTCCATCTTTGTGTATTTTCAGCAAACCCGACAATCTCGATGCATGGCGATTTTTTGGATTTCTTCGACAACTTATTTCCTTTTACGATCTTTTCATAATCTTTGTTCCATCTCTACAAACTTTCTCGGTCAAGTCCCAATCCTTTCCAGCTCTTATACTTGGTTTTGCTTTCAGATCAATAAGTGGTACTTGTTTCATATTAAATTCGTAACTTTGATCTCCTCCTTGGCTTTCCCATTTGTCCATACCCACCATTGCACGTCCTTTGTCTGTTGGCAGAACGTTGTCTGTTGTTATTATCATCGTTCCAAGCTTTCCTTTTCCCTGTAATCTCTTCTTTATTTAGATTATATTGGTTAGATTGATATCTTTTATGCCTCGCTTTCTCCAAAACCACTTTTACATTTTCACGCATTTCTTCTATCTCACGTTCATGCAAAAACTTCCTTCGCAGTCTCTTATTCTATTTCGCCTTCTCTTCTTATCATGGAGCATATTCTCTCCGTTTCTGAAATTATCGTTTCGTATGGCACTCGTCTAAGAGCTTCACAAAAACCAGTTCCCAAAGCAAGATATTGCTTCGCATCATTATCAATACTATATTATTTAGAAAGAGCATGCAACAATCTCTTTTTTAATTGTTTTCGTTCTTAATTCGTTCTTGGTCTATCGACAATGTACTTCTTTTATCCTCGATTTTTCATTTTTCATCAACCAATGACTCGTATTTCTTCATCTGTTTTTCTTTTATCTTTCTCTTTTCTTTTCTTTCAGACTTCTTGACAACCTCTACAAGGCATTTAAAATCTGTCTCCGTTAATTTTCTCTTCAGTTAATTCTGTACATATATCACCAGTTTGGCGACTTACAGAAAATATCTTCAGTCGTCTTATGTTTTTTATAGCTGAACTTACTCGTACACTTTCCAGTAAACATTACGAACTTGAATTTCATCTTTTGACAACTTTATCCTTAGTCTGCGAGGAATAAAACCATTGTCTCTGCAACGTCGCAGGAATTTCAGCCGATTTCTCAACTTCACGAGTTTTGTCTTGCTTTTTTGTAAGTTATCAGCCAGTTTTAGTTTTAGACAACGGCTCCCATACCGAACTTTCATTTTCTTTCTCTTGCTCGTTTTCAGTGTAATTCGTGGCCTGAAGACGGACAGTTAACCTGCCCGAAACGTAGCGAAAATAATAAAACTTTGAAAAAACCTTCCGTATATAATCCTACAGAGTCAAATTTAAATAAATTAATGTACCGTTTGTAACAAACTAATGACAAGTTAATTTATCATATATTCTAGGTCATGGTAATCAGTCATGCGATATTATCGAAGCAAAACCGTTAAAAGGTTGGTCAGGCACAAATTATTGGAGAGGTTCAGATTTGACTTCCATTACCGCTACCACTATCTCTTACCACCTTAATGCGCATCTGATTGGTGGATGGGATATAACAAGCCCTTATGATTGGTTAATGATCCGGACCTTAACGGTGAAATCTGAGCCACTGTATTCTTGAACCGTGTTCTTGTACACAGTCACGCGTAAAAAACGCACAGGTTGTAACAAACCTGCAGCAGACTTGTAGCAATGCTGTTCCAACAATTTGTCAACAGGATGTGTTCGCACTGCTTGTTCCAAGCTTGTTGACAAGTTGTTCCAACAACTTGTTATCGTCCTGCAATTCAACAATTTGTTAACAAGTTGTGAGCCAGTGACAACCTTGTAGCAAATGATAAAATAACAACATTGTTACAACTTATTGACAAGCCTGTTGCGAACACATCTTGTTGATAAGTTGTGAGATTTTTACGTGTGTATATATACATACGTAAAAATCTCACATCTTGTAGCAAGTCTGCCAACAAGCTGTCAACAAGTTGTGTTCGCACTGTTTGTCCCAAGTCGTCAACAAGTTTGGAACACGCTGTTAACAACTTGTAACAACCTTGTTCATATTATCAGACTTGTTGCTGCAAGGTTGTTCCAACAAGTCCGAATACATGCAGTCATGATATAACAAAATTGTTACAAACTTGCGTCGTCAACCTTGCAACGTTCTTGCTACATCATGACTGTATCAGACTTGTTAGAGCAACATTGTAACAAGTCTGATAATGCCATCAAGCTTGTTACAAGTTGCTAATAGCTTGTTCCAAACTTGTTACAATAACTATAGGAACAAGCAGTGCGAACACAACTTGTCGACAGCTTGTGAACAGATTTGTAACAACTTGTTTGAAGGCCTGTAACAACTTGTGCGTTTTTACGTGTGTATATGGAAGCTGATCTTCTGCACATGCCTTTACACATGTTCAATTGATGCTTTTTACTTAGGTTTACTTTATATGCTGAAATAAAGTTATTTTTGTCCCAAGAAATCATTTTCCGTATGTATACGAACAGTTTAACCCCCTCGATCCCCCTTTGTACGCAAATGTACGCATCAATCATACACCCTCTGCCCTCCCATAATACGTACGTGGTAAATGCATGCCCCCTAACACAATGAACTGATTTTTCCAATGATCCAAATGCATTTGTTCTTGAAAACAGGAAAGAGATTTGATGTGTCAGCTATGCAGACATTTTGTGTTAGGAAGAATGGAGAATGTTTCATAAGATGCATAGGCAATTCAGAATGTCAATCATTTGGTATTGGTGTTGTTGATGAATGCCTTGGACAACTACAGTGTCGCTTATATTCTCAAGTGGAGATAAGCGATCTAACTAATGATACGAAGTATACTTATTATATCTTGGTGAGTTACAACGCGTTACATTTTTCGATAGTTTTAAGGAATAGCGATGTTGAATTTGATTATCTTCCCAACCTCATAGCCAATAAATATAATGCCCGGTTTAGACGACGAACTTTTTAATGCACCGAACCTAATCAACAAGTTCGCCAACTGATTTAGACGCCGCACTTAATTGTTCCGTGCCAAAATATAAGTACAATATATCAGTGTTAAACCCATGTCGAACCTCTATGTCATTGCTGAGCGGATTTCCAAACAGGCTATTGCTCAATAAATATGGAAACCGAGATATACTTATACGTTCTAACCATTTACTGATGTCAATGATGAGCTGATGCCTATCTCATTTAGAAATTATTTTAAGTCCTCCGCATGAAACGTTCACATTCAGTGAGTGACGTCGCCCGTCAGCATGGTTAACCTTTTTCTTTCCTATAGAAGGGATCATCATGTTGCATTAATGCGTCGTGTTTAAATGGAGGACTATGTCGAAGTAAAACTTGTACATGTGCTTGCACGAAAGACTTCATGTCAACAAATTGTATTTGCCCAAGAAGTAAGAAACTTCAACTTCCTTCATTAATCAAGATTATCTGAAAAATCATTTAAATATAATATAATCACGTACATCCATGAATAGTTCAGGGTGCTCTGCATGCATCTCTTTGGCGAACTTTTTGGTTGTAACACTGGATCAATTAACAGTTACTCTGTGAACTCAAATATTACAAAGATTTTATTTTGATTATTTTATTTTGATTGTGGAATTGTGGATTTTGAAGATGCTGTAAAATCTGTTCTGCTCACCAGTTCTGCTCATAACAAAGGGGGACCGGCAGATATAAACATTGCCCAAATTTTGCATCTTTCAAACATTTTTGAATTGAAACGTATAGAGTTTGTATTCATTTAAAAAACACATTAATAATAATTCGGGAGCAAAACACAAAGAAAAATCATAAGCGTGTCGTGGTTTTATATGTGATAAAAAATCATGTTAATGTACATAAACTTTAGCTTTGATTTTCTCGGTTTAGACATTTGATTTTCTCGGTTTATTTTATAAATTACTTCGCTAATGTACTCATCAGAAGATGGGCGTTTTTTAAAACACTCCTACTCGTGCTTTAAATAGTACTTACAAATATAGCGAACCAGACAATTGTTAGATATTTTACAAAGTGTTTGTTTACATTACGGAGTTTACAGCCGAAAGAGCGAGGATAAAAACAGAATATAATTTTTTGGAAGAAATTAATCATGTATACTTGTTTCGATTTAATATAAAGCTAATTAAATTATATAGAGCCAATTAAATTGCAGAATAGCTGGCAATCCTTGAAATTAGTTTAAAATACTAATTAATAATTCATAAACCTTGTGGCAAATCATGTCAGCCATATGTCACGTGGAGTGACTTTATATCTGATAAAGCATGTGGCATTATATAATTGTTCATCCTAATTAGTATAATTTTAAGCTATTCAAAACACTCCTACTCGTTTTTTAATAGTACATAAATCCTCGTCGGCAAAAGAATGCCGTCGACATTCATCATTATAATCATCTGTTCATATTAATAAAACATAGCAACAAAGCTTTTAGAAGAATCAATCGAATACAGAAGGTAATGCCAAAAAAATCGTCGACAGAAAAAAATTGCCGTCGATAATCTCATTTTCGGTGGCATGAATTATCGCCGGCAATTGCCATTTGCCGTCGCTAATTTCGAGGACTGGCTGGTATCTGGTTGTTGTCTATATGTTGATTTTTTTTATATGCACTTCAAATTGCAAATCTCACTGTTAAAGGTAATTTACGATTGGCTATACTTGATATACACAATACATTTACACTACACATGGACATACTTAAGGACTCACCGTAATTGGGGACACTGTGGCGAGTATCCTGGCACTACATTGTTGTAATATAAATTTAGTAGTTGTCGAACATTATTAAATCATTAAATCATCGTTATATATTTTATCGTTATTTTGTATCATATATGATACAAAACGTAAGAGACTATAGCTAGAAGTTCATTAAATCTGGATTCAACCAATCCTTGTTTCTAGAACAGAAAACGCAATATGTCGTTCTTATTGAAATATCACTGATTTTCCTGATGATATATTTAACACGGACCTTATATCATTTCAAATGTTCCAACATCTGTATAAAAGCTGAAGATTCGATTTCAAAAACACCGAGTGCACTGATTGAGAGATTAATGAACTTTACCGGCTGGAATTTTTTCTTTTGTTGTATATGATCATCTCTTTATATTTTGAGTATTTGCGCTGTATATTATTCATTAGGTTAGTCGTCTCATATCCGACGGTTGGTTCGAGAACATACAGACAATTGTTTTTGGTCAAAAATGAACCAATAAGGAAATTCCTTATGGAGAACAGTTTAGAAATAATAGAGCTATCCAATAGAAATAAAGTTGGTCTTTGTTTTAGTTTATTTACATGATTTTGTGTCTACACAGATAACGTAACGCGACAATTCTCCCACAAATGGAAGGCTGTCGACGAGACCAGCGCGATCACCCAAATTGACAGTGGTGGAGGGCAAACATGGGCCACGAGAATCGACACAATGCACATTTTTACATTACAAAATGGCGCTTGGATACGAATGGACGGCATCTTAACTCATGTTACGGTTGGAAAATCGGGCGTTTGGGGAGTCACCCGAGCTGATGGTATTTTCGTCAGGTATGGTGTGGCACCAAACACACCGTATGGAACAAGATGGGAAGCAATGGGTCGGGGATTTCAGAAGGTTGACGCTGGTAGCTCAGGAGTTGTTTACGGAGTGAAAGGGTATTTATTTTTTACATCTATTTGGTTGCGATCATGCACGTGTTTAGAGTTTATTTATTTGAATAGTTTATTTATTTGAATGCAGGACCACTACATAAGAATTAGTATTATTTCAAGTGTTGTGTGGATAAACTATTGAGTGTAAATTTAAGGTTACAGGACACCCTTTTGGCGTTTTGCGGAAAACCGCTACTGCGCGCTCAATATCAGTCCGATTTTCACCAAATTTTCACCGAATGTTCGCCAGGGTATGCAAAATATGGTAAAGTTGTAAAATTAACAAACAATAAAATAATGTAAGAATTATTCAGGAAAATCTTAAATCGCGGTACCTTTACGCTTTTGAGTTGTGCTCCTGCTGGTTTTAAGTTATATTTATGAAAATATCATTTTTATACAGTAAAATAGTTGTTCTAAAAAATCCGAACACAATTTTGAAACTGACGTCTTTAGCTATGTCCTGTGAAAATTTGAGAAAAATTGGTTGAAACCCGCAAGAGCACAACTCGTTTGAAAATCAGTAATATTCGTGAGAAAATTGAATTTGAATATTACATTTTCAATGTTTTTTCTTATTGCAGCGAAATGTATTTTATTAAATAACTCTGCGAGTTTTCAACATTTTTCGTTCAAACTTGGTCAGATAGTAGAACTAGTCTAATGCTTTCATTGAAACCAATAAAAAAATTTTAGGCAAAATTAACACTCAAAGGTGTTCTGTAACCTTAACTGTTGTGATACAACCACGAGTGTTTGTAACTAGTTTGTATGGGAACCGATTCATTTCACATATTGTACAGTATATTCAATACAACACTGACGGAGTTTTATATATTCAAGCCCTGATTCAATACAACTCGCGTCCGTGTTGTATTGAATACAGTATATGTGAAATGAATAACTTCGGGACAGGTGGAAACTACACTAGTTACAATCAGTTCATGTGCCAACTACTGAAACTAGTATTTAGTGAATGGTGAACTTTATTTAGGCACGGAGGCCTGTCATCGAAAATAAGATGATCTTCCCAGGCGCGGTGACATTTGAATTATTTACAATATTTACAAAGAGAATGAGGAATTAAAGCTATATACATAACAAATTAATTCTACAGTTTATTTTTGAATATTTTTAGGGAAGTGGAATTCCCTAAAAAGTATAGGGTTCTGTAGGGGCATGGCCACTGAGGCCTTGGTAAATTTTTCCTTGTACCATGTAGAAAATACAGTATGAAACTGCTTTAAGATTTGCAATACAAACACCATGTACTACCGTCCAATACCATGTTAGAATGTGTGGTTCAATACATGACAAAAAGTCTCTAGTTTACGAAATAAAACTGTTAGTAGTATTTACCAAAGAATTAACATCTTCTTTCCTGGTTATGAGAGAACGAAGTTCCACAGCATCACCTTGGAAACATGCCTGAACTATTGGTGACTATAAAAGTTTAAATAACTAGAGTTTAATTAAATACTGTACAGTACATCTTACACCAAAATGAGTTTGTTATACTGTAGTCTGTAAATTGCAGACACTGAAAAGCATTGCATTCGCCATCAAGGCAGTCTGTATAATCGCTCTGACTATGCACATTCAGTAAACTTGTGTGAACATGCACTATATGACTCAATAGTAGCATGGCAGTTGTCAGAGGGAAGTTCAACTATAAAATAATGAGTTGAACGGTATTGTAGATGGAAATTATTGAGTGGAAATTTATATACATTTATTAGACCTAACCAGGAACAGCTGTGAAAATGCAACTTTAGGTCCCTGGCAGGAATCGAACCTGTGGCCTGCGATCCCGGTGCAGCGCTCTAACCAACTGAGCTACAGAGGCCAATTGTCGAGCTCTAACCACACGTTCATGTACATATACTAGGCCTCTGTAGCTCAGTTGGTTAGAGCGCTGCACCAGAATCGTAGGACCGCATGTTCAATTCTTGCCAGGGACATTTGGTTGCATCTTTCACAGCTTTTCCCGGTTAGATCTAATAAATGCAGGGATGGATCCAGCATGATCTGGTAGGGGGGGGGGGGGGGGG